CTTCTAGGTGCTTTAAAAAGCAGCAGTATTTTTATCCCAGAGCTGACACCTGAAATCATTATTTATAGCACTTACCTTGCTTCAACAAATAATAATCCTTTAGTATTATATCTTTTAGTACATTGAGTAAGTAGATAAGTTTTATTTGTAAAAATCTGAACTAGTCACCAAAAACACACTGCCATTCATCTCATGTACATACCCTAATGTTTTTTTTCAGTTACTATCCATCTTTGTTTTAAACTGTCAGTTTTCAAAGATTTGTTACTAAATTTAAGTCTTCTTCACTTCTATACAATAGTAGGCTGATTTCTTTTCTATTAAGCCAAGTATTTGTTCTGGCACTGTGTTAATGTACCTTTTGTCTATTTATACATATCTTAGATTGACTTTTTAGTCCCAATTTCTTCCTGGCAAGGACAATGAGCACAGTGAGAATATCTAATAAATGTTACATAATAATAACTATTAGATGTTCCTTTAAAATTCCATTCAGCTTTTTATCTTTATCTTCTGCTTTGAGATAATTATATACTTCTCCGAAATTATTTATAGCCCCTGTCAGGAAGAACAGCTGAAAAAAAAAATGTTCAGTCTTGCCAAATCTATGATGAAAGTGATTTAAACTCTGAAATCCCTTGCCAGTGTTCAAATTGGCACTTGAGCTGGGTGTGGTGGTACACTACTCTGGGAGGCTCAGGTGAGAGAATCTCAAGTTCAAAGCCAGGCTGGGAAACTTAGTGACTTAGCTAGACACTGTCTCAAAATAAAACAAAAAGAACTGTGAATGTGACTCAGTGCAAAGGCCCTGGGTTCAACTCCTAATACCACACACACACACACACACACACACACACACAAAGGTAGTTGATTTATGGCATATGGCTGTCTAATTCTATTAGTAGAAAACTTTTCCCAAGCAAAAGTTCCATGAAGTTAGTTATAGAATACATCATGGCCACGGCTCCATTATCATTCATTTACCAACAAATGGAGATGACACAAAACAGCAATGGAAGCGCATCTTTTCACGTTGGTGAGGTCAGTCTGCTCACACCTCCATTCCTACCACATCATGAGTGACATCCTGTCTACTCATTGGAGAGCTGAACTCCAGTACATTTAATCAAGACCAGATAAAGTTATAAATCTTTACAAATCAGCAAAACTAAGGAACTCTTCTATGTTATGAATTGGAGATCACAAGGCCAAAAAACATACATCTGTCCATGGCAAAGTTAGTAAATAAAACTGTAGCAACCCTATCCACTCTATTCATTCATCCCTGAATTTACCAATCTATGGCATCAGAAAACTCTCAGATTACTTTCTTCTTCTTCCAAGACCACGTCCCCACTGACCCAACCCTCCAACCAGGCTTCACCTCCCAGCATCCCATTCAGTTATCAGTAGATTAGTCCAGTGCTGAGTATCATGCACTCATGATCCAATCACCTCCCAAAGACCCACCTGTGAGAACACACAGCTTTGGGGAAACATCTGATATAAACCGTAACATCCCTTAGGTCAAGGATGTAGGTTCGCACAGAATTTGCGAATGTAAGATCTACCCACTGAGCTCTTGCTAACTAGAGC